AGTTTGTTTCCGCTCCCTCATCTGGGGGGTGGCAGGGGCGGGCTTGCCTGCTGACACAAGTTCCAACTTGCACCAGCCTCTGCAAGAATAACCCTGGTTGCGGAACGCCCTCGTCCCACGCTCCGGGCCCAGGGAGGGGCGGCACGGAGCTGGCTCTACCGGCTCAGTCCCTGCAGGGAATGAGCTGTGGGTGGGAGTGGGAGCAGGGCAGGGCTGGCTTTCTGGCCGCTTTGCAGGTCTGTTGCGTCAGTGTCGCCAGAGCAAAGTGGCAGCTGTTGGAGAGTGAATTTCCCACCTCCCAGTGGGGGAGACGCCGTGATGACTTAGGATGGTCCCATCGGCTCTCTCCTCCAGCCGTTGGCAAGGGGGAAACTGGCGTGATCCCCTGCCCCTTGCCATGGTGGCTGGGGACTCTGGTTTCTAAACTCGGCGCTCATTTCCTAGCAACGCGTAGAGAAATCCCCGTGCATCGCCCCTGCCTGGCTCACAGCGGGGTCGTGAGGTGCGTTACAGTTTGCAGCCTGAACCCCCCTTGCAGCACGCGGGAGCATGTCAGTGTCAGTCGGAGGCAAAGAACCCGGCATCCAGCTGGAGCCGGCAGGTGTCATGAGCAGAGCTGGCACGTGACCAAGACCCCGGCTGCTGCACTTTGCAAAGCGCTGTGGAGCAGTCCCAGCCTGGCTCGCAAGAGCCAGCGACGTGGCCTGGCCGCAGTCTAGGCCTGGCAGTCGTGGGCACCTGAGTTCAAATCCTCTCTCTGAAATCCCTTTGTAGCCTGGCTTGAAGCAAGACACTAAGCCTCTTGGCAGGAGACAGTTCTCCCTCCCATCCCCAATAAAATGGGACTCAAGTGCAGGGGGAAAATTACCCTTGATATGGTGCTTTGCATCTCTTAATTGCTCGTTAAAATAATTACTAGTCAGACCAGGGTTCCCTATTTCCTGCACAGGGCAGGTAGAGCAGCATAAAGTAACAACACTGGGGTGCCGGTCAGGCCGGCGGCTGTTTCCTCGGTTTCCCCCACCCCGGGCCTGGCTCAGCTCAGGAAGATGCAATGCGGCAAGGCCAGCGCCTTAGGCCAGATGACCCAGGCAGGCATCTCCGTGGGACATGGACTAGGCCGCTCTGACTTCAGAAACAGCCTCCGGTCGGTCCCTACGCTCGGAGGCCTGCTTGAGCAGCGCCCCTTCGCGCCGAGCTCGGGAGGGTTCGAATGTGCCAGCCAGCTCCGTAGCTCAGGTCACCACTCTCCGCAGACCGCACGGCTCTTGGCCACGCCATGCCCGGCGCCCACGGGCAGGTCTCCCAAGAGCCCTGCTGACTGGAGGACGTGGTAGTTTTGAAGGTCTCTCTACGGCCGTGTGGTGTGAGCTGCAATGAGATCTAACCGGAGAGCTCCGTGGGTAGGGGTGCCGGGTGTCTGGTTTTCACCCAGACTGTCCGTTATTCGGGTCCCCCGTCTGGTAGAAAAAACCAGAACAGTCTCGGTATTTCCTGTTTCCCTCAGATGGAAGCCTGGCGGGGACAATTCCCCCTGCCGCGTCTGGCGGGGGAGTGAGGAGCGCGGGGCTATTTAAAAGCGCAGCGCCCTTTTCTTTTTTCGCTCAACAACTTTGGTCTCCTCCCGCCTTTTTTTTTCTCTCAACAGAATTTTTTCCTAGTGGGGTTTTTTTTTTTTGGAGGGGGGGGGTTGGTATTTTTTGTTAAACCATCTGGCAAGCCTACCCATGGCCACCAGAGACCTGAGTTTGGCCATGTTGGGTTGTGGCCAGCCCCTCGCTGACTGGCACAAGGGCTGAGCTGTGCACCACGTACTAGCCAGGTGTAGGTGGTGGTTCTTTCAAAGGAGCAGAAAAATTCATCCGACTACCCTCCCCAATCACTTTCCCATCCTCCCCGGGAGACCTGTCCCAGCCAGCAGGGTTCTTGTGACAGTGGACACACCTGCTAGCATTTCCGCTTTCTCGACACAGTTTTTGGCT